TCTATTGTTAGGATTGTTTTATAAAATTGATGAATGTTAGAAAAATGTTGAAATGAAATTACTTGGCTCTAGCAAAAATGTTCAAAGAATTAGGTAAGAATATTATGGTTATGAGAAGTTGGTAAAAATAAGATTTAAGCTTTAAGGTTTTTTATAAGATAAGATGAAAATAGATTAAGGTAATGTAATGACAGAATATTATGAATTATGGAAAGGATTTGCTGCGATAATTATTAATTAGGATACAAGAAAAGGGAGGAGGAGGAGGTCAAAGAAAGAAGGTAATGAAAGTTGAGAATTTGAGAATGATGGATTTATTTATTTTTTCTGTTTTGTCTTTTTTTGTAATTCTAAAAAATTTTTCAATAAATATCATTTTTTAAAAAATGAAATTAATTTTGTTAGCTTGCACACAGTTCTCCAATCTGTTACGGTCATTTTGAATTTGGATTCTGCCTTCTGCAGCATTAGCTACCCCTCCCAGTTTGGTGTCATCTGCAAATTGGATGAGCATCCCCTCAATTCCTTCATCCAAGTCATTTATAAAGACATTGAACAACAATGGGCCCAGGCCAGAACCCTGTGGCACCCCACTTGTCACTTTTCCCCAGGACGACAAGGAACCATTCATGAGTCCTCTTTGGGTTCAGTCAGTCAACCAGCTACAAATCCACCTAACAGTTAATCTCATCCAGCCCACATTTTACCAGCTTCTCTGCAAGAATATCGTGGGGGCCTAGGTCAAAAGCCTTACTGAAATCAAGATACACTATGTCCACAGCATTTCCCCGTTCCACTAAGTTTGTAATTTCATCAAAAAAAGAAATCAGATTGGTCTGGCATGACTTATTTTTGAGAAACCCATGCTGGGTCTTAGTAATCACAGCATCCTTTTCTAAATGCTCACAGAACGACTGCTGCTTTTAGGACCTTCCCTGGTATTGATGTCAAGCTCACCACTTGGTAGTTCCCTGGGTTTTCTTTTTTTGCCTTTTTGAAGATGGGGACAACATTTGCCCACCTCCAGTCTGTAGGGACCTTCCCTGGTCTCCAAGAATTCTCAAAAATAATAGACAAATGCTCTGAAATTATATCCGCAATCTCCTTTAGTACCCTTGGATGCAGTTCATCAGGCCCTGGAGATTTGAATTCATTTAAGTATCTAGGTATTCCTTTACTACCTCTTTTCCTATCTTGGGCTGCAGCTCCCTCCTGAAATCATTTATTCTGTTATCGCCAGGTTGCGTATCACTCTCTTTTGGGTGAAGACAGAGGCAAAGTGTATTGAGTAGTTCCGCTTTTTCTTTCACCCAAGAGCATTTCTCTGTCTTCCCCACACAGAGGACCTACCACTTGCTTGTTCTTCCTCTTACTTCAGACATAGCCAAAGAAACCTTTTTTTATTATTTCTAACTTCTCCTGCAAGCCTGAGTTCATTCTGAGCTTTAGCCAGCCTGACTTTCCCCTGCAACTGTTGGCTACTTGTGTCTACTCCTCCTTTGTGATTTCCCCTTTCTTCCATTTCTTATACATGCCCTTCTTAACTCTCAGCTCATCTGTAAACTCCTTATGGAGCCACATGGGTTTCCTTAGATGCCTCCCACTTTCCTTTCTTGTTGGTATTGTCTGCATTTGGGCCTTCGGTCTTTCTCCTTTTAGAAACTCCCATCCTTCTTGGACTCCCTTTTCACTGAGTATTTCTGAATCACACCCAGTAGCTCCTTCGGCTTTTCAAAATTGGCCTCCTTAAAGTCCCGAGTGTGTGTCCAACTACACTTAGCTTTCCCTTCCTTTTTGTTCTCTTCCATATTTTTAAGGACGCCTTTCTGCCTGCTGCAGCTTCTCTGCCCCTGCCTGTTGACCACTCTCGCCCCCTTGGCCTCCCGGTGCCTGACCTGGTCTGCGGTCTACACTCCACTTGACCTCCTCAGATTGAGTTCTTAAACAACTCCCAAGCCTTGGAGTGATTTGACCCTCTTGACTTTGCCTTCCAATTTTCCCTTTTACCAATCTCCTCATTTGGGGGACATTTCCTCTCTTGAAATCACAGGCGACCATGTTGGATTTTCTTGGCAATTGGCCATTTACTTGTATATCCAGTTTAATAGCTCTGTGGTCCCTGCTCCCAGCTGGTTCAGCAACAATTGTGCCTGGCACCAGATCCTGGAGCCACTCCGGTTTAGGTCCAGGGTGGCTGCCCCTCTCTGTCCTGCCTAGAACATGCTTGTAGCCAGTCCATGTGAGGGTAGGTGAAGTCGCCCCTCACTGCCTTGCCTCTTCTTTCAGATGCTTCCATTAGTCGCCTCCAGATCTCCAAGAGCATTTTCATTAGGGGATGATAGCACATCCCAGCCCTAAATGACTCTTGGGGTTTGGCATCTCCAAGAAAGATTCTGCAGGGAGCGTCTGCCCCTTTGGGGATTTCTGTCTGGCAGGACCCCATCCCCTCTTTGACGGGCAGAGTGACATCCCCTCCAGCGCACCCTGCGCTGTCCTTCCGATGGAGCTGGCTCTGTGGCAAGCACACACACAGACCCCCCCATGCCTGGGGAGCCAAGAGGACTTCCCCAATCGTCATTCTCCCCGAGTGCCAAGCCGTTTGCAGGCTCCGCGGAGCAGTCGTGTGATTAGATTCCTAGGCCTTTATGAATAATTTGTTGTGCAATTACAAAGCAAATATTTAATTGAACTTTATGTAAAATGTGCTGCTGAATCTCCTGTGGCTTTGGGGTGGGGGATGCGCCCGGTGCCAGCATCCGCTGTGAAGCATCACCAACAGGCTCCCTCCCTCCCTTCCTTCCTTCCTTCCTTACTTCCCCGTTTGCTCCGGGGAGCCTGGATGGTCCTGCTGAGCCAGGTGCAGGGAGCTGCCCATCTGGGCCCGGAAGGATGTGCCCAGGCAGCCCCCCAGCCCTAGCCTGCTCTGTTGGCTGGTAAAGGGGAGGGGTGGCATCTCCCTCCCTCCCTCCCTCCCTCCCTGGGCACCCCAGGGTCTGTCTTCTGCCTCCTAGGCAAGCCCAGAGCAGGCCCTGCCTTTCCACCTCCGAAGGTCTCTGTGCTCCCAGGCTGAGCCCACCAGGCTCCCCATTCAAAGCCCTTTGTGGCAGAGAGCCCCTTTCCAGTTATTAAAAGTCCAGCAGTCTTCACTTTCCCCAACCATGCACTGCTTCACATACCAAAAAAATAGTCCCCCTCAGAGAATTCGAACACGAGGTGTAGACACCTTTGAAGGTGCCCATCCCATGCCTGGCTGGTGAGGGTTGCCGTGGCAGAGTCTGGGCCAAGAGTCCTGGGTCTGTTGGGTGCCGGATGGTGCCATCATGGGGCAAGCAAGTCTTCAGCACAAGGTACAGGGGCTGGTTGTCCTGCCCTGACCCCACAGCTGGTGAGTCTCCTGCTAGTGGCAGCAGAGGTCCATTTCCATGGGTGAAAGGGGCACAGGACACCCTCCCAGGGCTCTCTGCTCATGGTCACGCACTCAGCCAGCTCAGGGCAAAGTTGGCCTCCGCATGCAGAAGGTGGGGGGCATACTTGCCACCTCCCACATCAGATCCTGGGCCAAGAGAGCAGGAACGCCTCTCCCCCCCCCCCACTCCTTACAAGTCAGAGGAGGAGATGGATGGAGAGCGGGGTGGATCTGCTCTGAAGAGAGAGGAGCTGAGCCCCTCTGGGCAGCATGGCCAACAGGGAGAGAGTTGCACACAGGGCCGGATTGAGGTTGGATGAGGCCCTCAGCTCCTGAAGGTAATGGGGCCCTTTCTATGTCCAGCTGTCCTTTGTCAACAACAAATTGTTGCTGGTTGTTCTTTTTTGTTGTTGTTGAATATGTGCTTGATGGTAATTTATGGACCTAATAGGTATCTAAAGCCATTTGCACCCTTTATATAGAAATGAGCAAACCAGTGATATTTGAGGGAGCAGGTGGGGCCCATGACTTAACATCATAGGAGCCTACACAACACACAACTGTTGCTGTATGTAGGTTTTATTTTATTTGTTTTTTATCTTATATTTTGGAAATGTACATCCATTTTTTCCCTTTAAATTTTTTTGGTGCCCCCAAGAGAGTGGGGCCTTAAGCTAGAGCTTGTTTAGCTTATACATAAATCCAGCACTGGTTGCACATGTGTTGTTGCTGTTGCTTAAAAAATAAGCATCAGTTTGGGGCTGGGTGGAGCCAGCGCCGTAAATGTCTGTACAGAAATCGAAAACACTCTGAGGGAGGAGATGGGCCCTGAAAGCAGCACAAGCTTCTTCTTTCTCTTGCCAAGTTTGCCCCCCACCCCCTCCTCAAAGAGCTCCAGGTGACACTCAGGCGCCTCATTACCTGGTCCAGATTTTTCCATTTCCTGCCCTCTTCCTGACTCCTGGCTCCGGGGATTCTGCCCCCTCCCCCTGCACCTGGCCTGGCCTCACCTGCCTCCCTCCCTGGGGCTGCTGGCAGCCTCCACTCTTCTGGGCAGGTGGGGATGTCTGCTCAGGTGGGCTCCTGCAAACAAGCCCCCCACCCTCTGAGATTCTCAGGGGCAATACATGCATGTGGGTGGCATGGAGGATCTTGGGGGGGGGGTTCCTGCCATGCTCCTCCTGGCTGGCTTGTTCAGGATCCGTCCTGTGCCCGCAGATGGGTCCCTGGGCAGCCACCTTCTCCTGCGTCCTCAGCGCTGTCACATATTGATCTATGGCTTCTGCTTACATGGAAGGAATTAGTGATGCTCCAGCGGCTCAAGGGCTCTTCGGCTACACAGCCCCCCCTCCCTCTCTGGCCCCCACCTCAGCCTGAGCATCCTCACACAGGCCCAGCCTTCAAAACCCAACCTTCTGGGCCAGGTCTGACACACCCACAGCCTGCAGCTGCTCAGTCCGGTGCGCTCTGTCAGTTTGGCGGGAGGCAGCCTTATGAGCCAGACCATTGATCCCATGGAGCCTGATACTGTCTACGCTGACAGGCAGCTGCTCTGCAGGGATTCAGACAGAGACTCTCTCCCAGCACTGCCTGGAGATGCTGCCAGCGGGGATTGAACCCGGGGCCTTTGGCACGCAGTGCAGACGCTGTAGCCACTGAGCCACAGCCCCACTGAAAGGGGCCACAACTGATGACCCCGCTTCCTACGGAATGGGTCTCTGGAGGCCCCCACTTGCAGAATGCCATGTTTGATTCAAGCAAGAGGATATTTTGGGCTTCCTGGGAATCCATTCAGCAACTGGGCATAGACCCTCAGGGGCCCTGGAGCTGGAGGTCAGAAGAATCGCCAGTGGGATCAGGCCAGTGGCCCATCTAGTCACAGTGGCCAACCAGTTGCATAAACCCACAAGCAGCATTTGAGCACAGGAGCCACTCTCCCCCCCTGCAGCTTCCACCAGCTGGTGTTCAAAAGCACCGCTGCCTCCAATGGGCTGGCAGAGCCAATCTTCTGGGTGCTTTGGGGACCTCTGCAAGGGCGCTGCTATCCCAGCTGGTAGCAGCAGACCCCTCTTCCGTGGGAGCACCATGCCAGAGCCCCCCACCTGCCCCCTTGCTGCATTCTGCAGTCCTGCGTTGGCTCTGGGCTGGCTGGGGGGGGGGGGAGGCAGGCAGTACATCCAGTTCCTTCTGCAAAACTTCAAACCCACCGTCCTGTTTGAATTATTCACTCGTAATCCCTGGAGTTGGCAGCAGCTCCGAGAGGCTCCAGCAGGTGCAAGCAGGAGACGGAAGGAAAGGGAAAGGGGGGAGAGGACATCAAATGGTAAAAACCACCAAGGATTTAGAAACGCAGAAGAGGCAGAGGGGGGGAGGGGAGGGAGAGCAGTGGTGGGGAGGCGCAAGGGGTTAGCCAGGGGCAAAGCAGCTGTGTGGACCCCCAGCCCCCAAAAGACTCCAGGCCCTGGGGTGGAAGGAGCTTGTGGAGCAAAGGGCTAAGGAAGCCAAGGCAGGAGCTGTTGGCCACAGAAGGCCAAATCCTGGAACCAAACACCCAGCAGACATCTCTGCATTTCACTTTGGCCGAAGAACATGGGAATATCAGAAGAGCCGGGCTGCGGGAGGCCAGAGAGAGGCCCATCTTGTCCAGCTCCTGCTCCCACCATGGCCAGCCAGATGCCTGGGGGAAAGCAGCGTGCAGGAGGCGAGCAAGAGAGCCACACTCGCCCCCCCCCCTTCAGTTACCTGCCACTGGCCTTCAGAAACATCGCTGCCTCTGACTGTGGAGCCATTCTGCCCAGGAGCCTCCCATTGGCCTCTCCTCCAGGAATGCTTAATAATATTTAGTAGTCATTTTTATTATTTATACATCACCCATCTGACTAGGTTGCCCCAACCACTTTTGCAATGCTCAGCAGTCCTCCCTCCCTCCCTGTCTCAAGAAACATCCCATGTTGCAAGGAGGGGAAACGGGAAGCCAAGGCTGAAGTGCTGGGGGCTGCTTTGGGGCTGCTCTGGCCAATAGCAGAGGCTGCAAAGGGGCTTCTCTCTCTCTCCGGACTCTAGGATGGGCGACCTCCGTGGACCAGCTCAGAGCCTGCTCTGCTCATTCGGAGAAGCAGAGTTGCTTCTCTGTATTCCTCCAGGCTCATCTGGAAGCTCCTGTGGGCAAGAGAGGAACTGAGCCTGCCTAGCAGCTTCTTTGGCAAGAGGCCTCTGCTCTCGCAAGTCCTCTCAGCCACCCTTGGAAAAGGCAAGGCGGCTGGCAGGGGCAGGGCAGGGGCAACTGCTTCCCCAGGTAGATTTTTGTTCAAGTGAGCAGTTGGGGGGAAATCACGCAACTGGAAAAACACGAGTGAAATGAGGCAGATGTGCTTAAAAAGCACATAAACAACAGGCCATGTCAGGGATGGCACGGCCACAAATTATATGTAAGGTAAAAGGTCTCAGCCTTCATACTACAACAGCCCAGAAGGTATTGCAAGGCCCTCTTCTCTCTTCCCAGACTGTCCTCCCTCCAGTGTGAGAGCCAGCGCGGTGTAGTGGTTAAGAGCGGTAGTCTCGCAATCTGGGGAACCGGGTTCGCATCTCCGCTCCTCCACCTGCAGCTGCTGGGTGACCTTGGGCCAGTCACGCTTCTCTGAAGTCTCTCAGCCCCACTCACCTCACAGAGTGTTTGTTGTGGGGGAGGAAGGGAAAGGAGAATGTTAGCCGCTTTGAGACTCCTGAAGGGGAGTGAAAGGTGGGATATCAAATCCAAACTCTTCTTCTTCTTCTTCCTCGTGGGGCAGAAGATGCTTTGTCCCTTCCTGGAAAAGACCCTGAAACTCTCCTGCCTCTGCGTCTTCTGCCTCTCTGGCACCTGCCCTCTTTCTTCTGCAGCCAGCGCAAAACAGCCAGTCCAGGGTCCCACTCCACCCCTGGTGGCCTAAGTGTTCAGGGAGAGGTTCTCTAGGCTGTATCCAACTAAGTTTGCCTCAGAGGAGACCTATTGAAATAATTGCACAGTCATAGAATTGTAGAGTTGAAACGGACTGCCTGGAAGGTGGTGGACTCCCCTTCCTTGCAGGTCATTAAGCAGAGGTCAGGGGCCATCTGTCAGGTATTCCTTAGCGGTGATTCCTGCATAGGAGGGGGCTAGACTAGATGGCCCTCGGGGGTCCCTTCCCTCTCTACAATTTTATGGCCCTAAATAGGCCAGTGGAGAGGGTGACAAGGAGAAGCCCCACAGCAGGCTCTGAATCCTGGCTGCCCCAGGGTCTGACTCTGCAAACATCTGGCAGGAAGAGGCCTCCAGGACCCTCCTCCAACTGGCCTTCTGACCGACAGACCAGTGCCCCCACTCTGGGGGCATCCCAGCCGAGGAGCGCAGGGAGGTGGGAATGTTGTGCCAACCCAAAGCAGGAAAGGGAGGCCATGAATGGCACGCCCTGCCGGCTGCCCCTGTGGGGCTGTGGAGCCCATAGGCAGGGAATGGCGTGTGGCCTGGGGGTCTGGAGCAGGCAGGTCCAGGGGCCCCAGGAGGCCCAGAGGCCCCTCATGCAGCTGTGCCAGGGGGCACCCTGCAGCCAGCACAGCATGCGCTTGGCTCCCCAGGGCCTGCCAGGCAGGTGTGTGAGGCATCCGACGCGGCAGAGAGGCTCTGACAGGAACGGGCACCAAAGTGTAATGTTGATTACGGTGGAAGCAAAATAAACACGAGGCCTATTTATGTATCTATAGAGAATTAATTGGGGAGCTCCAGAACGCGGCAGATTATAAATGAGAATCATTTTCAGCAACTCCAGCTCATTCATCTTGTTTCAAAAAGGGACTGTCAGCACAGAAGCTTCTGGCTCCGCATCGCCCCCTCCCTCCCTCGCCCCCCAGCGCCCAGGGGGAGGGGGCAGCTCAGGGATGGAGGACCCGCCTTGCATGCAGAAGATCTCTCATCCCCCCCCCCCCCAGCCATACATACACACTCCAGCTCAGAGGATTTCCGGGAGCAGAATACGAGAAAGGGCTTTTTCTGGCTGCAGGACCCTGGAGAGACAGTGCCAGCCCAAGTGGGCACCAGTGCATGAGGTGGATCAGTAGTCCGGCTTGGCCAAACATGTTTACAAAGAGCTTCCCCCCCCCCATCCCACTCCCAGGCCAGACCAAAGGCCCACCTGGTCCCGCGTCCCCTGTTCCTACAGAGCTTTCTTTGGCAACTCACAAGCAGGACCTGAGGCAACAGCAGATCTGCCTTGCAGGTCATTCCCAGCGCCTGGCCTTCAGAGGACTGGGTGTCCATGGGGCTAGGGCTGGGGGGGGGGCACTTGCTGGGTCCCTAATGTACTTATTTTTTTAGTGCGCACAGACACCCGCGCATCCAGCTGACCAGCAAGAGGTTTAGAGTGCTCTCCGAAGCAGCTTTTTGTTACTGGCCACCTTGCCCAAGACCTCAAAGGCTCTGGCTTTTGCTTGAAGAGGAATCCCCTTTGTGTTCTGTTTCCCTTTATCTACTTTCCTTATGGATGCCGAAGCATTCACTTCAAAAAGGGCCTGGCTGCTTCCAGACCTTGCATCCAGCACTCGCCACAGCCAAGGCAAGCTTTTCATCCGGCCGAGAGTCATACAGTATCGTCGTCCTGAGGGCAAATTACAGCTCCCTGCCTTTCCGTTAATGTTAAATGGACAAACAGAAGTTAGCTCCCAAATGTATAATCCCATGCAATGCAGCAAATTGCCATGGCTTCTCTGCCTTCTCTTCAGCACACTGCCTGGGGCTTAGGGTTCAAGAACATAACAGCATAAGAAGAATTCTGCTGGAGGAGACCAGCGGCCCACCCAGTCCAGTCTCCTGTTCTCACAGTGGCTGAACAGCTGACCCTTATGGGGAAGCAGCAGGCAGGATCCGAGCCCCAGAGCCACGCTCTCCTCTCCTGCTGCTTCCAACTCCAACTGCACAGCCAGAGCACCTTGTTCTTCCTGGGAGGTTTTTAAGCAGAGCTCGGACGGCCTCCTGTCAGGCATTCTCTGGCTGTGATTCCTGCCTTGCAGGACCCTCAGGGTCCCTTCCAACAATTTTGGATTCTATGGCTTCAGTTAGGGGCATTGTTGGCGCTTTGCCCCTCTACTTCCGCTGTGCAGCTGAGGGTTTGCTTCCAGCTGCCCTGTGGGTCTTGGGTGCCCCAGAGGGAGCCAGGGGGCCCTCCTTGCAACCTGGACACAGAGAGCTGCAGCAGAGCGGACTTGGGGTTCCTCCTCCTGCCCCCCGCTCTGCACGAGGGGAGATGTCGGACCAGCCAGGAGGAGGCTCCTGCGCATCCTTCGCCGGCTGTGACGGGCGTGCGTGCATGCGCTCCCTCCAGGGATCCTGATTCTGCCCCCTTTGATTGCACAGAAGTGGCAGCCGAGTCAAAGCAGCTAAGCCGAGCGAAGCACATCTGTGTGGAATTCCCGGTGGGATGCGCTGCGGAGTCGGCAGAGGAAGCGGGCCTGGCGCACATGAATAGTCACTTCAGCTTAGCAAACGCCCTGGAAATCCATAATGTTCCTTAGCTCCAGCCCATGCGCACAGCAGCCTGCTAAAAAGGGAGGGCTTCTTGTGGGGCTGGGGGCTTGGAAGCCGCTCACTGCAAGGTTGGCGCTGTGGACTGGAGGGGGATCACCAGTGGCTCAGGGGGCAGGCAGAGTACACAAATGGCTC